TATTAGATTTAAAGCTATATATATATTATTAATTATACGTATAGATTATTGATGGTTAAAATATGCAAACTTGATTTAAAAATCACTAAATAGTGAGTAATACAACTAGCTTTAGCCAAAACCAACACTGTTTAATAACTTATCTACAAATTTATTAATAAATGATATTTTACAAAATTTAACACAGTATTATTAATCTGCTAAAAACAGATAATTTGCTTTATTTTATATAGAATAGTAATAGACAAATTTTTAATCATCCATATATTGTATATATGTTTTTGTTAAAACAAAATTTCATCTATTTGTTAATATGCTATAATAATATTTATAAACAAATTTGTAAACAATTTTGATTCAACATTCAAAGCTTAATATTATAGTTATTAATAGCCTTTTTCACTTTATTCTTTACAATTTATTGTTTTTTTGTTGATACATATTTGATTTTTTTTTTTTCTAAATCATACTGAATATCTACTGCTTTTTTCTTCTAGCCTATTAAGCAATATAAAACATTATTAATATTGCTGATCTACGAAGCTTAAAAAAAATTTGAAGCTATTAATTTACCTGAAATAACCCAGTATAATAACCAGAATAGTACCATGCCATCAATAAATTACTCAAGGCTTCGTCATCTACACAGTATAATAAGAATTAGAACAGTTCAATAATACATAAAAAAAATTTATAATAAAAATTACCTATCATTGGTGGCGGAACAACAGTTTGTGGCTAAACAAAACAAATCGTGTCAAAACAAATAAACACAAGCATCAAAAATCAATAAATAAATTGCTAACCTTTGGAGGTTGCATTGGTCTCCATCCTGGAAAATATGACATATTAGGGTCCTGCAAATAATAAGAAATAGCTAATGAATTAACCTTAAATTTATAAATACGAATATTCATAGACACATTTAGAAAAAATTTACCATGTTTGGCGGAATGTGATGATAAAATTGAGGAGGAGGTGGAGGAGGTTGAGGATAATAATTATTATACCATCCGTAAGCTGAATAATAAGGATTATCACCTGTCGCTGAATCAGAATTATGCATATGTGTATGTGTATGGCCAGTTTCTTCTACTGATGAATCATCAACTCCTTCATTTTGTGTTTGATCTGTAGAAGTATCAGCCTCGGTTTTAGTTGGCTTTTCAGAAAAAGACCCAGTCTTTGGTGGAGGAGGAGGATATGAATAGTATCCAGGATACTGCTGATGGGAATACGATTGCGAATAATATGGTGGCATTTTTAATGCAGATTCACCACCTCGATTCACACTTTGGGAACGTTTAATTTCATTGCTGTCTTGTTTGGATGAAGTAGTTGTATTACTCACTATTTAGTGATTTTTAAAATCAAGTTTGCATATTTTAACCATCAATAATCTATACGTATAATTAATAATATATATATAGCTTTAAATCTAATA